CCCGCCACGAGTGTGCATCCTCCCTCCACGAGTGTGTCCGTCTCCCGGCAAGTCTCCCCCTCTCTGATTTTTCCCAGCAAGAATTTTCACATGCAATATTTTCCCACATGAGTTTTTATCCACGTGAGATTTTTTCCCACGAGACTTTCTCCATGCAAGTTTTTCCACTAGAGTTTTTTCCATGAGATTTTTCAATGCAAGTATTTCTCCACACGAGTTTTTTCCACACGAGGTTCCCCCCCCACAAGGTTCCCACCCCTCCCTCCTGCAATGCTTTTCCCTGCAAGATTTTTTTTTTCCCACACGAGAAGGGAGGCATGGAGAGAGAGAGAGAGAGACAAAGATGTGTCTGAAGCATCAAATTCTCCCAGCAGTTCCCAGAGCAGAAGCTGTGTCGAGTCCTGGACCCTCAAGGCTGTGTCACCCCTCTTCTGCATCCCAGTGGCTCCCTGCCCCCCACCCTTGTATTTCTCTAATCACTGTCATTTTTTTCACTTTGCTGTACCTCTCCCTCTCTTCAAGTCCCCCTCTTTCTCTGTCATTCTACTTCTCTGTTGTTTTTTTCTCTCTGTGCTTCCATCCTGTTCCCTCTCCCTCTTTTTTTCATTCTCTGTCTTTGTAACAAGAATTAGGTCAATGCATCCTATGAAGGAGGAAGTGGCTCTGTGCCGCAAGGGCATAATTTTTGGGCTGATGATAAGCACAAATAGCTGATTGCAGGTGGAAGACTTCCCTAATTTGGAGGCACATAGTGGTCTGAAAGCTTTTGAGGGAGGAGGGAGAGTTTGCGGCAAAGACTTACCCAGAGACTGCTCAGACTGGTTTATGACCACTGAAAGTGAGTTGAGGGAAAAATGATCAATTCTTTATTTATTTAAAACAAGAACATGACACAGGGGTCAGCTGCACAAAGTGAAGGTTAGGCCAAATTCCCACTTAAGGACACTATGAACTGCAGGTTGCAGAGCATCCAAGGATGAAGCCTGTTATGAGTTCAGCAAAAAGAGAGGGTGTGGGTACATCACCGGTATCCACAGGGCCACTGCCTGCATCAAGGCTGGGACAAGGACTGCAGTACTTCAGCACAACTAGGGATGCAGTGCTTAAACAGGTAAAAGCAGATCTTTCTGCTTCAGATGAGGAAATTCCAGTATAAACTCAAAAGTACCTGAGAGCGACAATAGTATACACAACTTCAAGCGCTAAATAACATTAAAAACTATTTCCAAATTAAAAAAAAAAAGATACATATATAAAGGAAGAACTGAAAGCTGAAGACCTGAAACACGTAGAGCCTAAACCACACACTCATTCCCATAATTTGTTCTACTTACCACTTCTTGCTTGTAAACTGTACTTACTCATACACCAATAACGCTGTGAATAGAAATCAGCACCTTTTCATCTCGATGACAGGCAGGCACATGGAATTCTCAGGGACACCTTATCAACGTGGGCAGGAGGAAAGGAGAGAAACTTACAGGGCTGGAAACATTTAGCAGGCACTACAAGTGAAGGGAGACAAAATTAGCAGAGAGAATCCACCTCTAAGCCAGATCAGACTCGCCACAAGTCCATGGTCAGCATCTGTGGCACAGAAGTAGTTCAGAACAGATGATATTATCTACTATTAACATACAGGTAACTACAAGACCAAATGATCTGCAAACATCATGGTCCTCATCAAGGAAACCTGGACTGAAGGATAATTTTAAAAACTAGGAAGATCAGTAAACCCAGATTCCTCTTCCAGGTCTATTATATCTTAAAAAAAAATTGAATCACATTCAGATGCCAAGCACAGGATCACACAAGTTTAGGCAAGACCCAAGAGCACTCAAATACAGCATTTGTTTTTCCTCTTTTAAGAAGCATGCATCACTAGCAAATCACTCAGCCCAGAACTGCAGCTGGTTCACAGTAACAGCAGATTTTACACCTTTTAACTACAGATTATGCTAAGGTATCCAATCCTACTCCTGTAATTGTGCATGTATCCCAGACTTCACGGCACAGAGATTAGGTCTGGGTTTCACTACTGCTGGTATCAGTTCAAGAAGCACAGCAATATCTGTTGATCTCAGGAGTATACCGGATCGGGTGCATTCCCCTCTCCACCCCCAGCAAGCCCCCTGCATGCTCTACATGAAGTAAGTTGAGAAAACAAACACTGAGACTCCACTTTAAGCTTTTTCTAAACAGCAGACTATTTCATTACGCTCGGCTCCACTAAATTAAAAAAGTACATCCCTAGTCCAGCAAAGTACATCTTAGTCAACTATAACGGCAAATTAAAGAGCTGGATAAGCATGTCGATTGGTCTCAAACCTTTGTGCCATCCCCTTTGTTTGGCACTTGTTCCTTGCACAGAGAGGCAGTCTGGTCCGGGTAAGCCTTGGAAAAATCTTCTAAGAAGCTACTGTTGCCATCGTGTGGCAGCCCTTCAGAAACAAAACTGTACTTCTGTAGCTCTCTGTATCCTCGCAGCTTCAAAAAAAAAAAAAAAAAGGGCAACCCAGCACAGATTGCACAACGCTCATGGACTGAAAGGAAGGTGGCCTTCCAACGACACGGAGCTGCAGGTTTCAGAGAGGTTTCATGAGTTACTAAAAGGAGCACCAGATGCTGCTCATGTGGACCATGCTGTCAGAAGGACACAGCGCAGCTATCAAATACCAGTATATCCTATTTTCTTCTCCCCTTTCCTCCAAACTGTAAAAAAAAAAATAGTACTTTCACAAAAGCACTCAATGGCAGACATGGTATTATAGAAGGGTTAGAGTTAGAAGGGACCTCAAAGATCATCTAGTTCCAATCCCCCTGCCATGGGCAGGGAAACCCTCCACTACACCAGGTTGCCCAAAGCCTCATCCAACCTGGCCTTGAACACTTCCAGGGATGGGGCATCCACAACTTCTCTGAGCAACCTGTTCCACTGCCTCACCACCCTCTGAGTGAAAAATTTCTTCCTTATATCTAATCTAAATCTCCCCTCTTTCAGTTTAAATCCATTGCCCCTTGTCCTATCACTACACGCCCTTGTAAAAAGTCCCTCTCCAGCTTTCCTGTAGGCCCCCTTTAAGTACTGAAAGGCTGCAAGAAGATCACCCCGGAGCCTTCTCTTCTCCAGGCTGAACAAATTCAACTCTCTCTGCCTGTCTTGATAGCAGAGGTGCTCCAGCCCTCGGATCATCTTCGTGGCCCTCCTCTGGACCCACTCCAGCAGCTCCATGTCCTTCTTGTGCTGGGGACTCCAGAGCTGAACCAACTTTTCTTCTAAGGCACGAGACACTCTCCCTCCCTAACAGTGCCTTATCTTTCATGCCCCTCTCCCCCAGCACATCCCTTTCCAGGGGACACACAGCCGGCCTGCAGGCAGGGAGCCCTCCCTCCACCCATGTTCTGTACCACTGTAAGGTTCCCGTTCAGGAAAATGATGGCTGCTAGGCAGGTTACAGCGCACTTTTTATCCTGGAAATGCTTCAGGTACCTCAGCTATCGAGAGGTACTGTTGGGAACGAAAGCACTGGATAAATTGCTGCAGTCATAGCCAGTTATTCTTTGGAAGTAAGCACCTTTAAACACGAGCAAATAATATAGAAAAAGCATTTGTGAGCTCATTGCGATTTAACATGCATTATTTTCTCTACAGGCACTTTTAGCAATTTTTCCCTGGTCTTATATATATTAGGAGCTTAACATGAAAACCGTAAAACAACCACAAGGAACAACTCTTTCATTTTAAAGGACCTGGAGGTTGATACATCTTTCAAGTGACAAATTTCAGAGTAGGTGAATTTAGTCACTTCAAAATCCAATTTAAAATCAAGATCTCCAGATGCTTGAACATGGGTTTTAAATTCAACCTGCATAATTTCCAACTTTTTTCCTCAGCTGTTGTATCCATTCGCATCAACATGGGCTTGAACTCAGTTTCCAAGGGCTTAAATACAGCTCAAGACAATGTATAGTTTCAAGTGTTTGAGCATGCAGATGCCTAATTCTGGCTGAAATAAGCAACACTAGCCATGTAACTTAAAAGCACACATTTGTAAAAGCACATGCTTATCAATATATTAAAAGATTTTGCAACCTTTGTTTTTTAAAATATATATTCTCCCTCATCAGTTTTATATTTGACTGTAAAAATAATTTGCTTATCGATTACCAGAGGTCTCAGACATCCACAATTTCTTCATTCAAGATGAAGAAAATATATCCCCTGCCAACAAACTACACAGGAGAAAACAGGAAAAGAGGGATGCTGACATTGAAATACGTAAATGTTATTTTATAGTGCAAGGACTAAATCAAGCACCTCAGTCTTTCAAATGGACTGAGTAATTTTTAGGCTATGCCTCCTTTTACTTAATGGTTTTGATTAGAAAGCAGGGATTATACGCCACATAGTTGAAGAAACCACAATCAGGCACAGGTCTTGACACAAACTCCAAAAAGCACACATGCTTAAACACAACTCATCAATATCCATGTTGTTCATAAGTCAGTACTTACTGTAACGGCACTTACAGGACAACTGTGGCATTAGACATCTGAAGAACGTGTATTCCAGGTCACTACTTAAAGAACAGTGGTTTTTAGAAAATACGGAGTAATTCAAAGCTTTTGCACAGCTATTTGTCCGTCTTTGAAACACCTGACATACTTATATTCTAACCAGAACGCATACTTTCAGATTATGCCTTAATTTATACAGAAAAATTAGTGTAATTGATTATTTCTTATCTTTCACACTCAAGACTGTGCAAGTAATTTTGTTCATTCCTAACCGTTTCAATAGCAGACGGCTTTAAAGTGTCAGGATCCGACCTACTTCAAATAAGTGGGTATGAAATATTTCAGCTGGCACTGGGTATAGAGCACTGAGCATAATTGGTATGGCCAGCTTCACAGAATGTGACAAAAACATTTCTGCGTGTTCCTGGGAAACACCAGAACATTAAGAAATGAGACAGACAACAAAGTGAACTTATGATCACAATTTAAATCAGATGTTTAACCATTTGTTAATTTTAAAGAATCAGAACAAGGACACAATGTCAAACATAACTAGAAGTTCATTTTATTTCTGCGCCTTCTGTGCCTTTGGCGCCTTCTCGGACTTCGGCACCTTCTCTGACTTCGGCACCTTTTCCGACTTCTCTGGCTTCTCTGACTTCTTGCCTTTTTTAGAAGACATCTTCTGGAGCTTCTTCATTTCATGTTTGATGATCCTGTTTCTCTGTAATAAAGGAGAATGTTTACTACTCATCAGAATGAAAACTGCAATAGCCCAAACACTATGCCTTAATTTAAATTCTAAGCTTCCAGATTCTGCCCTTTTTGATAATCACTCTTTGCTAACCAATCGTATTTATATTATATAGTCAAAAGCTTTACTATACCATGTATTTAATTTAAAATGTCAAATTCTACCTAAAACTGTTCTGATCTACCATGTGGACAACATCATTCTGGCTAGTAACTCAGGCACCCCAATATTTCATGTGTAATGACTTTCATTATAAAGTGAAATACTAACAGCAATCCATCAAAAATATCTGATTTCTCAGCAGGTAATTCCTTCCTCAGCTATACCTTGGAGGACTGACACACAGATCATGTGGCTTCAAGTCCGATCGACTACTGAAGAGAAAGTGGTGGCCGAAGAAGCATGAAAAATCCAAGGTATTCACATACTTTGTGTCCCTCCATAACCCAAGCCAGGAATAAAAGGCTATTAACACCTGTATGCGATTCTAAAGCGAGAGCTACAAGCACTAACCCCATAAAGAAGCGACACTCAAACACTTACCATTTTCTTTGCTTTCATAACCTTGTAGCGATCGAAGTCAGTCATTTTGGCTTTCTGTTTGAAAAGAATCAGTCATGAAGCTCCGATATATACATTCACAAGTAGTAAAACTCAAGTGTTACAAAGCATTCCACAAGTAACTCTGATCATCTCCAAATTAGGTTTAGCTGCACATCTGGATCTAGTTCACTATTTAAGGCCTTTGCTAGGAAGCAATGGTGCAGGAAAAAAGGTGGTTATAGAAATGACTAAACAAAACCACCTTTATTGTTATAATACAAGAAGCTGATAGCAAATTTTAAAATTCTACGCCTTGCCTGTCTTTAACCTTAGCCTGCAACTGAAAACACAGAGTTTATTAGATTGCACCTAATTGTACTAGGCAGAAGCAGTACAACATGTATTACTCATCCAGTGGAAAACAGTACCTTTTCTCGGGCTTCAATCTTCTTTGCCCATCTTGTTGCTGCCCATTTTTCATTGATATTCTCCTTCTCCCAGGCACGTCGCACACACTTCTGACGAGCACTGCATTAGAACAGTCACAAAATTATATTCAGTCTTTGTAAAAAAAGCATCTCTCTGGTGTTGGCCCATCAAATTTCATTCAAGAGAAGATCACCCTCTACATTACTTCAGACCCTTACATTAAGTCAACATACATCTCTGTGGCCTAGTTAACATTTTGCTGTGCAAATACTTGCTAGGACTGAACAGATGAGCGACTCCAAGAGGCATATCCACAGACTATTCCTAGCACTGCTTCAGAATCAGAAAGGCAGCAATTTTTGTTTCTCAATTACAGAAACTCGTACAGTAACTAAGCTGAAGAGAACACGATCAGTTCAGCCTCCTGCAATTCCAGTGTAGTTCTGCAGACAGGGAACATATTTACTGTCTCCAGGCGACCTAAGCAGTAGTAAAAACAAAACCGCACAGTACTTACTGCAACTGCTTCCCCCTCAACACCACTCACGCCACAACTATCTGCAAGTTGACTAGGCCAGTGTGCTATTTTCTTTGCTCCTGAACAACAGTTATCAGCCATATTGACGACAAAAACTTAAATGTATTCAACTATGATAACACAGCCCGTCAAATTTTTATTGTGCACACGTTAATCCATTGACTTAATGTTGTATGAACTTTTTAGATTTAGCAAGCATCAGATCACATAATTCAGGCATCAAGTGACAGCATGGTGCATTGTTTTTTTTTTTTTTACACAGATCAAAAAAATAGCAACTACTCACCTGTGTGGAAACTTGAGAACAAAGTCAGTCAGCTGCATGCACTTGAAGGGCATAGCCTGCCTTCTAACACCACTGCAGGGGCCATCAACCAGTGCCTGAAAAAGGAAAACAATTGTGGGGGGTTTTTTTAGCAGTTTTCCCATCATACCTGATTTAGACAGCAGCTTCCTAATAATGTACAAACAGTATCTTGACAACAATGGTACAAAATTGAAACAAACATTATGCAGACAAAATCTGAGATTGTTAAAGTCTTGCATACACAACCCAAGCTTTACAGTAAGAATTTTAAAGGCCCATCTGTGCCTTTGATAAAAAAACAAACTGAACTTTAAAAAAAGCACACAGAACTAAGACAGCATACTTCATCTTTCTTTCTTCTCCATTTTTTTCAGGAACATTAAGCAAAAAGAGTCTCCTAGCCCAAACATTTGCTTTAAACATACACTAACGCCATTCCATTCATAAGTTTCAGACTCCAACTGACATCACTTGTCCAGTTCTACTCCTAGGAAACACAGCAGAGAGGGGAATACATCACTTGCCAGTGAAAAAAGCTTGCTACTGAAAGTTTCAAATACAACAGCTGTTATTTCCCATCTCTCTGTTACAGAAAATTTACTTTAAAATCGATGCACTGCCTTAGTGTACAAGCTTCTGTTAAGGCAGAAAAGAGAAAATAAAGGTATAGCATTAATAGCTTACCCTATTTTGGTCAATAACGTCCACAATGGCCACCAGCTTGCCAGCATGTGGCCCGAAGGAAATGAAGGCAACTCTGCCAATCTCGACGAAGCGTTTGAACACCTGGGAGCGGTAAGAATTGACAGAAATTAGACGAGAATATACTTCAGGCCATTACCAGATTCAAGGCTTTCACAGCCTTTGAAGCAGGTTCCCAAGCTTTCGAACTGCACAAAGTCCCCTCGCTTGAGCAAACGGCCCCCGGTAACGCTCTCAACTACTTCTTCTCGGCCCTGGCCACGCGTGGAGGCCGCGGGACAGCACTGCGCTCCGTGGGCCGCAGAGAGCCAGGCGCTGCCCTCTGAAGAC